GGGGCATGCCACCCTCTCCCCAGGAGGAAGGACAACGACATGCCAGCAGTGATATTGAGGTTTGTGAACAGAAAAAATAAGATCGCACTGCTTAAACAAGGAAAGAAATTGAAGGGCACTAATGTATTCATGAATGATCACCTAACCAAGAGGAATGCGGATATAGCCAGAAAAGCCAGGTATCTGAGGAAGCAAAACAAAATTCAAAACACTTGGGTTACTAACTGCAAAATATTCATCAAACTTAACGGAACGCCAGAGGGCAGAGGTTAAAAGACGCCTAAGGTTTTGGTCATTAGAAGCATGGACGAGCTGGATAAATATAACTGAGAACGCTTTTTTGATCTATTCCTAAAAAAAAAAAAAAAAAAAACACCTCAACCACCCAGCAACTGTAACACACAAAAATCTTTTAAATTAGTCTTGGTTTTCCACTGACTTGAATCCCTTGCTCCACAGAGAACAAAAACAGGCCCAGACAGAGCGCGCCACACAAGGGCAATGAAACACAGTAATGGAGGCGGATGAGAGCGATTCACAGTCCTTTATAAAGTCTCTTGAGAGGCGAGCGCAGAACAGAGCTCCTGCTCCCATTCCTGCTTATTATCGTAAGTCAATTAGTGAGCCGGTACAGGGAAACAGGTCAATGTCTCAGCCTTCAGCATACCAAAACAAGCAGAAAACCTAGAGTAGAAAGAACGAGAGCCGCTATCACAGCGCTAGTGTTAGATCTGAGGACTGAGGGATGTTATGATTGACTATAGGAACAAACCTCAAAAAGAAACATACACAAATAAGCACAAAGGACAATTTTGCTCATTCCTAGTACAGCTGGATTACCATGTGTGAGCAGATATTTAAAGAGACAGTTCATGCAAAAATCCCTTATTCACCCACAAATCCATTTAACACAAAGCAGGGAAGCTACTGAATAATTTGGGATATATTACATGAGGTGCTTTTTAAGGCAACACTGTAAAAAAAAAATTATGCCACAATCCGCTTGTTAAATCGGGACATAAGGAATGCCGTTTCCGGGTCCAAGCCTCCACTCGTTTCAATTGAGAATACCATGTCGACGGCCGTTTATGAGAATTTATTCATATTACACATTTAAGCTAAACTTTAAAAAAACAGTCTCTGTGCTCATGGCATCACAGATACAAATATTTTAACGATTTACAAAGGATGAATCACTATCTGGCCATCTGGGATTTTGGTATGGAGATAAAGGTTATGATTCAAATTTTTTGATAGTATTACACCACATTGTGCATGTAAATTAGCACCGTTTGTTGTTTTCTTGTGGTGCGACATAGAGCTTTCATTTGGACCCGGAAGCGGTGATGCGTGACGTCAAACTTAGTCAGGATTAGTTATAACAACTTAAAATTTGCTGAGATAAATACAACTAAACTAAACTAAACAATTTTTTTTAGTTGAAACAATGCATTATCTTATGGAAGCCCGTTTCCGCCACTGAATAAAAAAATAAAAAAGGTAATTGTGACTTATGTGTTTATCTCACAATTCTGACTTTTTTTCTCAGAATTACGTGATATAAACTCGCAATTGCGATTTATAAAGTCAGAATTGTGAGATATAAACTAGCAATTCTGAGAACATATCGGTCTCCCCCCTCCTCAAAATTGGATTTTAACTCGCAATTGCAAGTTTATATCACGTAATTCTGAGAAAAAAAGTCAGAATTGCAAGATATAAACTCGCAATTGTGAGAAAAAGTCAGAATTGCGAGAAAAAAAAAAGAATTGCGAGAAGAAAAAAAAAATTGCGAGATATAAACTCGCAATTACGAGAAAAAAAGTCAGAATTGTGAGAAAAAAAGTCAGAATTGTGAGAAAAAAAGCCAGAATTGCAAGAAAAAAAGTCCGAATTGCGAGAAAAAAGTCAGAATTGCTAGATATAAACTCGCAATTGCGAGAAAAAAAGTCAGAATTGTGAGAAAAAAAGTCAGAATTGCGAGAAAAAAAAGTCAGAATTGCAAGAAAAAAAAGTCAGAATTGCGAGATATAAACTCGCAATTGCGAGAAAAAAAGTCAGAATTGTGAGAAAAAAAGTCAGAATTGCGAGAAAAAAAAGTCAGAATTGCAAGATATAAACTCGCAATTACGAGAAAAAAAGTCAGAACTGCGAGAAAAAAAAGTCAGAATTGCGAGATATAAACTCGCAATTGTGAGTAAAAAAGTCAGAATTGCGAGAAAAAAAGTCAGAATTGCGAGAAAAAAAAGTCAGAATTGCTAGATATAAACTCGCAATAACCTTTTATTATTTTTTATTCAGTGGCGGAAACGGGCTTCCATATTATCTAGTCCAATGTTGAATATTAAGTTGTGATAACTAATCGCAGCAACTTCTTTTTTTAACAGTGAACAAACCACATGTTAATAGGGTTAAAATTTTAACTAATAGATATCACCATACTTTCACAGTTGATTAATCACAGTGCATTGACGCAACTGTTTTGTTTATATTAATTGTTATGTTTAAATATATAAATGCACCATTATCTAATTAAATATGCCATAATGTGCATACATTTCCAGACCAGAAACCTGAACATTGAACAAAGCCAGGTTCAAAATCTTTGTTTCTTTTCATTGACATATTAGAGTTTTTTGGATCTCTTTTTATAACTCCATAAATCAGAAAATGATGGAAGCCTGTTTCCACCACTGAATAAAATAAATAAATAAAACAAGGTAATTGTGACTTATTTCTCGTATTTAAACTCACAATTGCAAATAAATAAATAAAAATAAAGAATTTAAGTCAGAATTGAGAGATATGAACTTGCAATTGTGAGAAAAAAGTCAGAATTTCTAAGTTTATTTTGCGCAATTGAGTTTATATCCCATAATTCGGACTTTACAACTCCCAATTGCGAGTTTATAGCACGTCTGAGAAAAAAAAAGTAAGAATTGTGAGATAAAAATGTGCAATTACCTTGTTTTATTTTTTATTCATTGGTGGAAACTTGCTTTCATAGAAAATAATGTCACCAAAAAAAAATAAAAAATTCTCCATGTTTTAAGAATTAAATGTTATATAAGTCTGGCAAATGATATATGAACAAACCCCTCTTTAAAAATCTTCAGAGTAATAAAGGTTTTTCTAAAACTGGAAAGTTGGTGCATGTAAGTGCTTCTAGTGTGAGTTTAACACTAAACTCACACTAGAAGTGAGTTTTGCTTCTAGTGTCTTGCCCTAATGATAATTTGTTGTCTTTTTGGAGCTTGAGAGCCAATGCTCAATAAATGAGTAGCTCTGCAATGCTTGGAGTGGCGTGTGTAAATAATGCCAGAATTTTGGGGTGAACTATTCCTTTCATGAGGCTCTTTAAAGAGGATTGTCCAAATAATGTTCATTGTTTGGTCAGAAGTACCAAAGGGGCCAAGACTAATCAGTTTCCCTTTAATTTTCAGTTTATTGAGCTACAAAATGCAAAGCCAGAGACTTTTCCCACAAGCCTTTAAGTTAATTGGTGGAAAAACGATTTCCCAAAAGGACCTGCCATTTTCCCTTCAGTTTACACAGTTCTCCCCTCAGTTTGTCGACTTCAGCCTTGGTAAACCTCTGTATCAATATTTCTGCTGTTCAGAGAGACGATCTCGCCAAAAGAGCAGCTGCGATTACGTCTGAATGAAGTCCAAATAAAGTATGAATAAATCCTGAACCAATTAAAAGGCCCCACAGGCATCTTACATTCATTCCAGCGATAAAACCAAAGCCCATCTAGCTACTAGTGGAAAACGTATAATTAAGTTATTTAGATTCAGAGAGACAAAAGCCAGCAAAGCTGTAGGTTTTCTGATGTATCTCATATCCCAGAATGCCTTGTGGCAATGTGTATTCCCTCACCTGAGATATTGGTGGTGATTTCGGTCAGGGCGGTCTGGCCAAAGCCCTTGGCGGTGCGAGCGCGAACAGACACCAGGTATGTGGTGCCAGGATGAAGCCCGGAGAACATGTGATACGTCTCGTTCTTTAGTTTGGAGACGGTGCGCCGTGGGCCAGGAACGTTGATGCTGGGATCTGACGATTCGATGCTCTGGTAGCTGATCTGAAAACAGGAAACAGAGAGTGAGCCCAGAGGAAATGATGTAACAGCAAACGGTGGAGGATCAGTGTTGATGGAGTTCAGCTTCACTTTAGCCACAACAAAACCTGATGTCTTCACTTACATTACTTTACCATCTTTGAAGGCACGCTTTATGCTGCAAATATTATTCCATGCAAGGGATTGTCAATTTAACAATAATGGTAGCAATCATGGAGTCTGAATACATTCAGAAATTACAGTATATGTCTTGACTCATTTAACACTTGCTGAGATTTTACGCTTCCATTTTCATCCATGCAAGAGGAGTCCCATTCTTTTTATACATATATAAATCTGTACCACTGAATATATGTAACATAAAATGTAACTCAGCAGGCAGGTATGTTTTCATCAAGAGTTTCGAGAAATGATTTTGGTAAATGCATGATTCAAACGATTCAGAAAATAACCAATTTCTAACTTTGTCTCCATTATATGATAAAAATG